TAAGAGAGGCCACACCCTTCACACTAGCAACCAAAAAAATGAAATATTTAGGAATTACTCTCACGAAAGAAGTGAAAGACCTATACAGGGAAAATTATAACACACTGAAAAATAAAATTGAAGATGATCTCAGAAAATGGCAAGACATCCCTTGCTCATGGATAGGAAGAATAAATATTGTGAAAATGACCATTCTCCCAAAACTTTTATACAGATGCAATGCAATCCCGATAAAAATACCATCAACATACCTCATAGAACTTGAGAAATCACCCCTAAAATTCATCTGGAATGAGAAGAAACCTAGAATAGCAAAGACAGTTAGAGGCAGCAAAAGCAAGGCAGGAGGTACCACAATCCCTGACTTGAAGTTATAGTACAAAGCAACTGTAGTAAAATCAACATGGTACTGGTACCAAAACAGAGCCAAAGATCAGTGGAATAGATGAGAAGATACAACCACCACTACAAACACACTCAACTACCTTATCTTTGATAAAGGGGCCAAACATGTTCACTGGAAGAATGACATTCTCTTTAATAAATGGTGGTGAAAAACTGGCTCTCCATATGCCTAAAACTAAAATTAGACCCATGGCTATCACCATGTACTAAAATAAAATCTAAATGGATCAAAGAGCTAAATATTAAAACAGAAACACTAAATCCATTGGAAGACAAATTGGGTAAAAACCTTGAAGACATAGGAGTAGGTAGAGAAGTGATGAACAGGACTCAAACAGCATGGGAAATGCTTCCCAGAATCAATAATTGGGATCACCTCTTATTAAACAGTTTCTGCACATCAGAAGAAATCTCCAGTATAGTGAAAAGAAAACCCACAAACTCAGAAAAAATCTTAGTGAACTGCCCCTCAGACAGAGGACTTCTGTCTAAAACATATAAAGAATTTTTAAAAATGAGACCACCAAAATTCAGAGACCCAATCCAAAAATGAGCATCTGAGATGAATAAAGAATTTTTGATAAAGAAATACAAATGACAAATAAATACATGAAAAAATCTTCACCATCAATGGTCATTAGAGAAATGCAAATTAAAACCACACTGAGATTTCATCTCACTCCTGAAAGAATGGTCAAAATCAAGAAAACCAACACCAACAAATGTTGGGGATGCTGTTGGGACCAAGGAACTCTCCTGCACTGTTGGTGGGAGTGTAGACTGGTACAACCATTGTGGAAGTCAGTCTCGAGATTTCTCAGAAAGCTGGGACTGGAAGCACCTTTTGATCCAGCTATTCTACTTCAAGGCATATTCACAAAGAACTGAAAGCATCATTCCACAGTGATATATGTGCACCCATTTTTATAGCAGCACAGTTTGTGATAGCCAGATCTTGGAAACAACCTAAGCGTCCATCAACTGAGGAATGGATAAAAGAGTTATGGTGTTTTTATACAATGGAGTACTACTCAGCTATAAAGAATGATCACATTGACATATAAATAAATGGACACAGACTGATACCATACTCATAAGTGAAATAAATCAAACTCACATGCATAATTACCAAATATATTCCCTAGTATAAGAAATGATAACGCATAGAAGTATGTGGTAATCATGATAACCAATCATATTGGTTTGAATCCATATAATGTTTTCACTCATTAAGTGCAATGGTTTTACCCTGGGTTTTTCGATTTTAGTATCAGTGATAGTACAAATAGCTATTCTGAAGAAAATAACACATCATAAAAGCTAGTGATAATTTAATATCATCTTCTTTGGAACTCCCATCAAGTTGTTGTACATGTTTCCACTGGTTTTAACATGTTGTATCTTAATAGAAATCCTTGTTCATTTTCTGTTAGCTGGCTCTAAATATCCTGTAATTCTTTCATTCTCTTGAATGGCTTCACACTGTCTTGATGTGATTGATTCTATAGTATATGAATTTATACTCAAATAATTCAAGAAAGAGGCACTATGGTGACTACTATTATGTTAGATTACCTGGTGGTGATACAAAATGATGCTTTAATTGTTCAGTTCTGACCTGTGTTGTTCTATTACAATATCTCTTTTATCTCAATCTCCACCTTTTAAAAAAAAATTCTATTTTTTTTTCAATTAAAGGAAAACTAAATTAAAAAATAGCGGGGTATATTATAGTAACTATTATTGTTTTCCTATTAACCTGATTTTAACACAAGTATTGCTCTCCCCATCTTGTTCTGCCTGATTTTACTATATTCTATTTTGTTTGATAGTATCAAATTTGAGGGTATAGGCAACCACTTTGTAGGCAATAAGATTTACTATGATGCCCATTATGGTTTGACTATTATCTTCTTTTGAAATTCTGTAAGGTCTCCAGTTTAGATTTTATTGGTCTTGTTCTGTACTGTTTTGATCAATTCTATTATACCTGATGATATAGGGAACTCTTTTTAAAAATAGCAAGAGGCACAGTGGTAACCATTTTTGATCACCTGATATTCTAATTTTGCATCAAGTACTATGCCCATCCTTATGTTCTAACCAACTCTGTTTTGTTAACTCACTTGAGGTTTTATTCTCTTCAAAAAAAGTAATAAGAACTACGGGAATAAAAAAAAACCCAAAAGTGTAATTGTTATTGGGAAGAAGAGAGGAAAGGAAGGTGGTCTATGGGATATAAGTGCCTGTTTGAGTGTATAGGAAGGAAAACCATATGACTGAACTTTTGTTGGATCATTGAACAGAACTGTCTGCAGTCTTGTTGTGGGAATGTTCACTTTATATGCTTTAATTTTATAATTTGGAAAACTGTTTCTAAGAAAACAATATGTAACCTATTAACTAGTGATTTCTCACTGTATTTTTTTCTCGAAATTCTGTATTATTTTTACCCTTTTACTGCTTTGTTTTTTATGTTCTTTTTTTCTCCTTAAATAAAAAAATTAAACGTGGAATTTATATCTTTTATTTATTTATTTTTTGGTACTGGGGATCAAACTGATGACCTCACACTTGCCAGGCAGGGGCTTAAGCCACTGAGCTAAATCCCCAGCCCCCCAATATATATCTTTCACATCTTATCATCTTCAGACTAGTGGCCTCTACTCTTGGACTTGATACCAGCAAGCATATCACATGTGAATAAAATCAGTCAAAGCCAAATTACATTCAAAAAAACCAGCTTCAAATAAGATAAGTTATAGTAGGACAATGTAAGTAATACAGGGTTTCAGTTTTAGTTAATAGGAAATTAAGGACAAGTACCATCATGGTATAACCTGCCATTTTTGGGTTATCTCTCTGTGCCCTCAAATCTAATATGAGTAGACAGACCAGAACAAAATATAATCAAACTAAACACAGCAACAGAACTACTGTAGCTTTTAAATCCTGATACACTTTTAACAATGTGTTCTGCCTTCCTTTTTTAGGCAATTCCTCACCTTTCTCCTTCTCAGGACACTATTATTCACTGTTCAGAGTGATATTAGTTTAGTCTCATGTTCAATTTCAGCATACATAAAAATAAACACGTCTACTACGAAGAGAATGAGACACATTATGGTAATCATTATCAACCTCCCCACAATCAGTCTTGAAGATCAAAAAAGGCTGCATCATCCTGTAATTATTTGATTAGTTCTATAATGTTCAGTATATATTCAATGCATGTGAATATGGGAACAACTATTTTGAAGAAAACTAGAGACTGTAAGATAGAAAATGAACATCTCAGTGCACATGCTTTGAAACCTTTGTTTCCTTAACTTGTTTCCTTAAGAACTGTTCTGTTTTGTCATGTTTAATCTTACCGTCTTTAAGATAAAAAACAAGTTTGTAGAACAGATAAGCATATTAAAATGTTTTTGTTGGATCACTGAGGTGAACTGTTTGCAGTGTCATTATTTGAATATCACTTTGTATGCTTTAATTTTGTAACTTGAACAATTACTTCTAAGATGACAATATGTAACTAATCAACTAGTGATTTCTTATTGTTTATTTTTCAGAACTTCTGTATTATTTCTACACTTTTTGGTTTTTTTCTTTAAATAAAAATAATTCACCAAAAATATAAAAATTAAGGTTTAAAGACAAAATATTAAGTACATAGACACTATCCATACTTGAAAGTGAAAAGCCCATTTCAGTTTACCATGTTTAATTACAAGATGCCATATTGAAGCACAAAGACACTTTAAAAAATCTAGAGAGGTACAAGTGATTAACTGAAAACCATACAAAATAGGAACTTGAGTAGATCTCCACTTCAGATTTGTCATTTCTGGAAAATTTGTGAACAAATACTGACATCAAATTTCTGTATTGATTATTTCTTCACATCTACTTGGAATTTTTAAAGTAAACTTAGATCTAAACTGTGTGAAGAGTGCTGCTTTTTCTATGTATTTAACAACAAATATGGATTGCTGTATTTCTCACACTGTTAGTACACATAGGATCCAGTGAGCTCTTTCAGATATGTAACAATGATCATGTGTGCTGAGAGTATTCCCATAACACATAGGATTTATCTCTTGTGTGAGCTTCTTCACATATTTCACTTACAATCTGTCTGCTGAAAGTGTCTCCACTTGCTTATGTAGCCAATGGTGCTTCCCAGTGTGAATTCTTTCATGTGTTTTGCAAAGACTGTATGTGGTAACAGCTTTTCCACATTGTTATATACAAAGGGTTTCTCACCAGAGTGGAGCCATTGACGTATTTTACAAAATCCATGTGTAGTGAAAACTTTCCCACATTCTTCACATAAACAGGGTTTCTCAACAGTGTAAATTTTTTCATGTATTGGACAATGAGCATTTCTGCTGAAACCTTTCCCTCATTACTTACATATGTAAGTTTTCTGCCCAGTGTGAAGTTTTTCATGCATTATGCAATATGTACTTGTGCTCAAAAAATTCTCATGATGCTTATATACACTGGTTCTATCTTGAGTGTGAACTTTCATGTTGCTTACAATGTCCATGTTGGGTAAAAGCTTTCCCACTTTGCTTACATACATAGGGTTTCTCTCCAGTGTGAATTCTTTCATGTATTTTACAATTTCCCCATGTGTTAAAAGCTTTCCCACATTGCTTACATACATATGGTTTCTCTCCAGTGTGAATTCTTTCATGTTGCTTACAATTTCCATGTTGGGTAAAAGCTTTCCCACATTGCTTGCATACATATGGTTTCTCTCCAGTGTGGATTCTTTCATGTTGCTTACAACTTCCATGTTGGGTAAAAGCTTTCCCACATTGCTTACATACATAGTGTTTCTCTCCAGTGTGAATTCTTTCATGATTCTTAAAAACTCCCCGTGTGTTAAAAGCTTTCCCACATTGCTTGCATACATATGGTTTCTCTCCAGTGTGAATTATTTCATGTTTCTTACAATATCCCTGTGTTTTAAAAGCTTTCCCACATTGCTTACATACATAGGGTTTCTCTCCAGTGTGAATTCTTTCATGATTCTTAAAAACTCCCCATGTGTTAAAAGCTTTCCCACATTGCTTGCATACATATGGTTTCTCTCCAGTGTGAATTCTTTCATGTTTCTTACAATCTCCCTGTGTTTTAAAAGCTTTCCCACATTGCTTACATACATAAGGTTTCTCTCCAGTGTGAATTCTTTCATGTATTTTACAATTTCCCCATGTGTTAAAAGCTTTCCCACATTGCTTACATACATAGGGTTTCTCTCCAGTGTGAATTCTTTCATGATTCTTAAAAACTCCCCGTGTGTTAAAAGCTTTCCCACATTGCTTGCATACATATGGTTTCTCTCCAGTGTGAATTCTTTCATGTTTCTTACAATCTCCCTGTGTTTTAAAAGCTTTCCCACATTGCTTACATACATAGGGTTTCTCTCCAGTGTGAATTCTTTCATGATTCTTAAAAACTCCCAATGTGTTAAAAGCTTTCCCACATTGCTTACATACATATGGTTTCACTCCATTGTGAATTCTTTCATGTTGCTTACAATGTCCAAATTTGGTGAACCCTTTTCCACATTGCTGACATACATAGGATTTCTCTCCACTGCAATATTTTTCAAGGATCTGAACATTGTGGTGTGTTTCTGCTTCTTTCACATTCACATTACCTTCTGCAGTACAAAGGAATACTCCTTTACACTGATTCCAAGATGTATGTCCATAGGATTTCCCTAGATTTTCATTTCTGCAAAAAAAAAAAAATCACATATAGGATTGATAACTATATTACTAAGCTTTTATGGGAGAGTTGAACAAAACTGTTTGCTGTCTCACTGTTTGAATCCCCACTTCATATATTTCACTTTTGTATTTCATTAACTATTTCTATGAGCAGCATATGTACTGTCTTTAGATTTCTTACTGTTTATTTTCACATTGAAATGGGTATTATTTCTACTTATTTTGGTTTTTTTTGTCTTTCCTTACATTACATTAAAAAAAAAATTCACAGTGAAATGGGTCTCAGTTTAATGATTGCATTAATGTCAAGTTCTGTTTTTAATGCCTGCTAAGAAATTCTGAACATGAAGTGACAGAATGGCCTTATAAGACATGTTGAAAACAACCATTCCCAAAAGAATGGTGCACATTTGGAAATCTTAAAATTTGGTACCTTTTGAAATGCAGAATCTTTAGGTTCACTTTGGGCATGGGTAAGTATGTGTATCACATACAGATCATTCTGATATGTTTCCCCATCACAATCTCCCTTCTGTCCTTTACCTGTAGTTCCCTTTTCCATATGGTCACTCTTACTTTTCTCTATTAACTCTCTTTCATTTCATTGCACATTTTATATTTTGGTTTCTCATCTAAAAGAAACCCTGTGACCTTTTAGGTTTTATAGCTGAGCTATTTCACCCAATTGATGGGAGAAAGAACCACCTATTTCTTATGGCAAATGATATTATACTATTTATTTTTTGACATTATATAACACATTTTTTTCTTTTCCATGCTGGGAATGAACAACAGCTATTAGCATAAAATCTATAGCTTTTAAAATCTGTTTTAAGACATTTTTGCTGATTATTAAGCTGTGAGGTTGGAACTTGAATTTGCGATTCTGCAAAATACGATTCCTAGTGTGCTGGGTTTACAAGAATGCACAATCACAGAGAGTCTATTAACATTTTACTTCTCCACAAATCCAGTGATACATAGCTAAGTTCTTCAAGGCCTGATCTATTATAATTTCATCTGCTTTGAGTATGAGCAAGCATGTATCAGTATTTTATGTGGATTTTGAATTTTTAAAAATATATCCAGGACAAGTATGAGGGGATCAATTTCTAGAGACAACTGCACACTGATATTCAGAATGAGTGCACTTAACATTCTACCAGCCTTCTAAGAATTTTAGTCAGAATGGCTGATTCTTTAGAGCATGGCTTGGAAACACAAGCACTCCATTTTATTTCAAATTCTATTGCAAACTTAGCAATTTTCAGATAAGGAATGTGTTGTATTCACACGTATATATGGGTAGAAAAACTGAAGGGAGAATGTCATAATTCAAATTGTATGCCTTTCGTACACATCTATATGCAATGTCATACATTTTCATGATTTAATTCCCTCATTATGCATACCCTAGCTTATACGTCTTCGGGAATATTACTGACAATAAATTGAATGGTGCCGCATTTGTTTGGCGGTCATTTTTCTGCTGACTCACTAATTAATCAGGAACATTCCTTCTCCTTGTGAGTGTGAATTACCTTAAGTATCTCCAGTAAATTTTGCATTCTTTTTCAGCTTCCTGGATATCCCCAAGTCCTCCTGAATTGTAGACATAGAAATACCAGCGCTCATTAGAATAATGCATACAAATTAATAGATTTTGTTTAGAGTTATGATATAATGTGTCCAGGTCTGAGCTATCTTTAAAAATATTTTCATATTGTTTTTAATGAAACAGCACTGATAAGGGACATACAACATTCTGACAGCATGAGTGACAAAAGTATTTTGTCCTTACCTATTGCAGTCATGTTCCTAAAGGTTTCGCCCATCACATTTTTGTAGAGGTTCTTTTGGGATGGACTCAGCAAAGTCCACTCCTCATTGCTGAAGTTCACAACCACATCCTCAAAGGTCACCACCTCCTAAAGTATCATACATATATTTCTCACATGAAGGTTGAGACACCAGGTTTGGGATATCTTAAATTCTCTCCTACAAATCTGAATCAAAAGCAAAGTGTGGTGGTATATATCTATAATGCAAGCACCCAAAAGGCTGAGGCAGGATGGCATCAGTGAGGTCAGGGCAATTCTAGGCTTCAAAGGTGTTCAATTCCAGCTGATATACATAGAGAAAGCTTGTCTCAATAAAACAAAACTAAACTAAACAAATACAACCAAACAAAACAGCTCAATAAAGACTGATTTCATCAAATTTAAATCCAGGTCTTGGTCATTTATTTGTGAATATACACATTTTTGAAGACAGTAAATTTGATGATAGATTGCAACTCACTGATAATGTAACAATGAAATAGGAGCACTGATTCTTGTGCTGAGTCACTGCGATATTCCCTGTGCACTGTCTCTAAAGCAGAGCTCACAGTGAGAAGCCGGTCTGACCACCATCCACAAAGCAGAGAAGCAGAGAAATATCCCATCAATCAACTGGGAAGCCAAACAAGCACCTCCCTTCCCTGGTAATTGATGATGTGGCAGACTGTGGCCTATGTAGGGGGCAAACCAGCAGTAGCTCCTGAGATCCATGCCATGCTGGAATTTAGGACACTTGGAAGGCAAGCAAGCACCAATTCTCCATGGTAAGCAGTGGCAGTCTGGCTGAATGCGACCCTTCCAGAGGGAGACCTAGCAGCAGCTCCTGAGATCCGCGCCATGTGGGAACTTAGGACGCTGTGAAACCAAACAACCAGCCTGTCTCCCTACTAAGCAATAGTGAATCTATTGATGCACAGCCTAGAATCAAACATCCCACTTCCCTACCCCTCTTCTTGTGTCACCCTTGTTAGCAAATGGGAACCAGAAATCTGAGTGTCTGCTTGGAAGCAGACCATAACAAATAAGGGGGACTTGCTTCTACTATCTCTTTGAAGGCAAATAATTTTATTAATGTTTTGCTCTATTCTGATTAATTGTATTGCTCTATTCAATATTTTGTTTTGATAAGTACTATAATGTTCTGTATTTCATCTCATTTTGATATACGTGTTTGAAAGAACAACTATTATAAAGATAATAAAATATACTGTCATACCTATTACTGTTATCCCAGTAACCTGTTGTGAAGTTGTGTACCAATTTCACTATATGATCTTAGCTGGCCTTATTCTGTTGTATTTTACCACTTTCAAAATTTAAAAAAAGAAAAAAAATCTGATCAATCACTTTGATATGCTACAGATAATGTCTCTTCAAATCTCATTTAGGCCAGTGAGTACTTTGTTCTTAATATAGTTCAGCAACATTTTGAAACATGAATTTGGTTTCATAGAACAAAAATAAATAACATCCAATATGGTACACAAATAATACCTCAAATGTTAGTGGAAAATGCTGTTTTTAAAAAATAAGTAGATAAAATGGAACCAGGCCCAAGCTGTAATTTATAGCTCACTGTCACCAAGCAATCACTTTCAATTCAGATATAAGGAATATATCTTGGGAGGCTGGTAAAGGAGTTCTTCCTTGAATTTGTGACTATCCTAAGTTACAAAGCTGTCTAAAATAGACAAACTCTGACTGAGACACCCCACAGGCAAAGTGAAACTTGAAAAGAGAATGCATAAGACACCTTTGTTTTGTTTTTAAAATTATAGCCATACAATATGGAAAAATTCCAACAATATTCAACACTTTCTGAGAAACAATGTGGATCTTTTCCATACAACAAAGAAAACACTTTCATAGTTGGGTATTTACCTCAGTGGCATGAACGCCTGCCTGGAAAGCATAGGTCATGAGTTTGATCCTTGGTACAAAAAAAATCCAAATTTTTCCTTCATGACACTGGGGCATAATTAGAGATAATCCAAATTAGATCTTAAGTATGGAACACAAAATTCATGGTTTGACAGGGATGTGAAACACTGATGGTTGCCAGAGCTGGTGTTGATCACCGCAATAAAGCAATCAGAACCCAACTTTAACTTCACGTTTACTCTAAGAACTACCTGAATTTCAGTGAATATCTGCTCTGTTGTATGTCCTGCTATAGGTTTCCTGAATCCTGTCAGTCACTTGCACTTCCTTTCCACACTCCTCTGATCCATCCTCAGGAGGAAACCCTTCATGCCTAACTGTTGATATCACTGCAAAATTTCTGTTTAGAGCTTCTCCTTTACACCACTTAGTAAATTCCATTGCAGAGCATTTCCATATTTAAACTGTCTATGAACAACCAAGCCACTAAATCAGCTCTTAATTCAGAGATGACACACCTATTCCTTTCCATTCAGAAGGATATCACGTGTATATTTCCTTGCAAATGCCTAAATTTCAGCATTTTTTATGATAATTTAACAGATAGCCCTTTCTGGAATTTGTCCTTCACAAAATTTTACCCTGTCCTTGATAACACTTTCATATTTGCTTTATTTTTCTCAGACTTCAAAACTCTATGGATGTTCTCACAAACCTAGT